GAATGAGTATTGGAACTTTTTAAAATAGTTTTTTTAATTGGACTAAATTCCACTTTGGTTCTCAGCATTGAAGAATAAGAGGCGTTAGAGTAAAACCTTTAAAATCCAATGGGAGAGCCAATTCGTAGAGTGAACTCCACTGCTGGTGCTGAAACTCCACTTTCAAAGAATCCTTTCCGCCTTTGATGTTTGTTAATAATGTGAACACTGCTAAAGTGAAATTGTAATATTTATAGATAGTTCTGGAGTATGTATGTACCTTTTGTCTATAAAAAAAATCACTGTCCTCTCTAGTTGACCAGCTGATGGTCGGGAAATTGAAAAATGCATATTCACTGGGCCATTAGAAAAAAACTTAAAATCATATTCAATTCTCACCAAAAAAAGGAGCTGTAAGGCTCTCTGGATGTTTAATGCTTCCCACATATCAAGGACTAAAAGTCATGAATAGGTCATGGTATCATAAAAATTTTAAATTGAGATAAGAATAATAGGTCAGCTAGTCGATCAGTTTAAATTTTTATACTCTGTTTGAAAGGGTTCATATGGAAAGGGTTGCAAAAATCTTTATGAAACATGTATTCACTGAATGTGCAATTCACCAAAGCAGCAGCTTTGACGTCATCAGATATATATGCATTCATTGTGGATCTTTGCCAGATCTAATTGCAAATAGACCTCTCTGGACCCAGGCAGTGGTGAATTGTTTTGATATTCACATTAAAAAAGGAACTAGATTCAACTAGATGTGCTGCTGGTATACACCTCTAATCCCAACATTCAAGAGATAGAGGTCAAAGAATCAGAAGTTCAAAGTCAGGAAAGTTTGAGTCCAGCAAGGGCTAAATAGAGGCACATACCTCAGAAGGCTAAGGTAGGATGATTATGAGTTGAAGGCTAGTCTGGGTTATATAGTAAGACCCTGCCTTAAACAAAAAAGAATTGCCCATCAGCCATCATTTCTTACCCCTGACATTACAATAAAAGTGACTGATAAGATTCTGTAAAACAACACAAAGTCAGGAAGAGGGGTAGGATAGGCTATGGCTGTTGGCAAGAAATTCTTTATGCAAATCAAAAGGAAAATGCGACTATAAAGCAGGAGAATTTGCTACTTTACAAAACAGCTCTTCAGTCACTCCATGCAGCGTGCAGTATCTGATAACCTAAGTATAACTAGCCTACTCTGCTACTGACCTGCCCAAGTGGCTACTGATGCTGGCTGTAGAGATCTGTCACATGGTGGAAGCTACTGAGTATCATAGAGCCAGAAGCTCACCACCACCTACTCACGTTTAACCCCAGGCCCCCAGAGGGGGAAATATTGTAAACTCACCAATTTCTATTTGATTATGACTCTTCTGGCACAAGTAATCAAAACTCACTCAAACGAACCAACGATGCAAGAGGGGTCTACCACAAGATATTAGATAAACACTCTGACAGAAAATGGAGACAGGCCTCACATTGGATGGGCCAAGACTAAGACTAAAATACCTGTCCAGAACTCAGCTGTATTCTTTTCCTCTAGAACAGAACTTTCTGGGGGAGCAAGAGTGTATTTTTGTTTTATTCTTTAATGCTGGGATCTTACTGTGTAGCTTTGGCTGGCCTGGAGTTTACTATGTAGACCAGGCTGGTCTTGAACTCAGATCTGCCTGCCTCTGCCTCCTAAACGTTGGGATTAAAAGTGTGTGCACTGTACCCAGCTGGATTGCATGTCTTGATGCCACAGAATCTCCTGCCTGAAAGAGAATTTGTTCTGGACACCAAGCTAGCCTTGAACTTAGGGATCTGCCTACCTCAGCCTTCAGAGTGTCAGAATTAAAGGTGTACACACGCACGGCCAGCCTGATATTCTTCTATACACAGAGCCAAGCATGGCCACTCCCACAGCTTCTGAGTGTTCACATCAGTAATTAAAGAGATTGCATTAACCAAGTAAAGTAACTCTTTCAGGACTAATTTTGTGTTCTCAAAGGAAAAATAAAAACAGTAAGAACATCCCAGTTCAGGCTGGGCTCTGTTCCTGATCTAACTGACTGCACCAGGGAATGTGCTGGGTTGAAGGAATCCAGACCTACCTCGTGGGGTGAGTGGGATCCTTATGGGAGGAGCTCAGGCTGCACAGGCAGCCCTAAGTGTGCTACGATCACTCGCTTGGCTCCTGTGCAAATAATCAAAGGTTGAAGGTAATGCTCTCTTAGGGTGTTAGGATGAATCCATGGTAAAGCAAAACCATGAAATCAGCATAGACAAATTAGTACTTTCTCCTGGAATCCCGTTACAGAAAGGGAGGAGTGATGGGCAAAGGTGTCAAGACCAGGCTGGAGAAACCCAGAAGAAGATCAGACAAGTGAAGCAGCCAACCACTAGAGAGTTCTTACCTCTAACAAGGTTGGGGTGATACTGTCCTCAGAGTGGCTGGAGACTGAATGCCCCATGAAACCCTGAGCTCCTGTCTTATATACCTCTCTAGTGTTAGGATTAAAGGTGTGCACCACCACCACCCAGCCTCTATGGCTAACTAGTGTGGCTGTTGGGGTTAACAGTGTGTGCCACCACTGCCTGGCCTCTATGGCTGTGGCTAGCTTTTCATTATGATCTTCAGGCAAGTTTCACCACAAGGATTGGCAGCACACCTGTGATTCCAGAGTTCAGGAGGCAGAAGCAGGCACTCTCTAGAGCGTGCTGGCTAGTAAAACAATCAGTAAGTTTGGGGTTTGATTGAGAGCTTATACATTGATGAATAAAGTGGAGAGTAATTGAGGAAGACATATCAATCTCTAGTCTCTAGCCTCTCCATGCACAGGCACACAGGTACATGCATGTATACACATACACACACACACACACACACACACACACACAGAGCTAGAGAGAAGGAGAGAGAGATGCACACAGATGCACATGCACACAATTAAAATTAAACATAAAGAAGACATTAACATTAAGAATTGTGAAGGACTTCTATGGTTTCTTGTATGGTTTTTAGGTAGAGTAGAAGATAAATAACTCTGAAATTCTGATATCTTGTAGAATCATTGGCCACAAGGCCACTCCTTTCCCTTGAAAGCTTATCTTTTGAATGCAGATTTCTGACAAGAATCACTTCTCCTTACCCTCTTTCGTTCCTGTGACTTGCTGAATAGGGAGTCCTGCATAATGGTATTGACTGCTCTCCGTGGGAGCTGCCTACACATGCCATCATGGTCTATAGTTGGTTCCCACTCAGGGATGTAGAATGGAAAAGAGGGAGAATGAGCTAGAATATCAGGGCTCATAAGAGTGATACAGAATTTTCTGCCAAATTAACAGAGAAGAATTTTGGTGCTTGGGGCCGTCAAGTCTACCCATTCAATGGACTGCAGGAAGTCGAAGCATCCCCCAGAAGACAGCTCTACCCTGGAGTTAGAGGCAGTGACTTTTACCAAATCTGCTCTCCTACCAACAGTAGCATGAGAATAGATGGAGTGCTATAGAATTTCATGTACTCTAAAAATCCAGTGGGTGCCCGGGCCCTGGGAAAGCTCCAAGAGAGAAGGAAGTGAAGCGGTAACATGCTGGGGTTCAAATCAGTGAAACATCCCCTTGTCTAATGACTCTTGACCACTGGAGGACCTGAGTGATATTGGGACTGCTCCTTCTTGTGTAGCACAGGTCCTTTCCTCGTTGTGTTGACTACACTTGGTATGCCAGTTTCTTCCAAGGCTCTTACAGTGAAAATCTCGGTACATCTGGAATCCTTTTATCCCTAGTAACCAGCATTACTCCTTACTCCATGGAAGACAGACTTCGGCTTGAGAGGGGCGTCAGCTGAACTGGCAAAGGCCCATCCTTCTGCTGTGCATATTTGACAGCCATTTGCATTTTTCTAATTTTGGATTCCTGCTTCAGTGGACACATAGGACATTCTTGAGAGTATCTTGGCAACCCACACCCATGTTCATGCGTGAAGGTGCACAGCCCCAGGTTGACTAATCCACTTGTCTAAATTACATGTCAGGTGATCATGGGATTGGCTGATTGTATTAGGTTCAGTGCAACTATGCGGGGCCTTTCAACATCTCCAGTTACACGAGACATATCACTGACGTTTGCTACAAGCTTTTGGCTCTGCCTCCAAACAGCGTCTCAGCCAGAAGAGAGAATGTGAGCTCAGTATTCTAGGTCCCTTTCTCTCAGCTGGACTTGAAAGAAGAAACAAGGAAGTCTAACATGCCCTGCCCTCTGTGTGTGGGCACACTGGAATCTGAAAGAAAAGGAAGGAAGCCTAGAGGAAAGATATGCACTAATAAAACACTCTCCATGGGATTGTAATGTGGTTTCAGATCTAGCCACAAAAGTAGGTCCCCATCTGTCCTTAGATACCTTAAGTTCCTTCTCTAAGGAAGGGAGCAGCTTGGATAATGGCTATAAAATACAAATATCAGTAGATGGATTGAGGTTGCCTATTCTCAAAGGATGAGTCAGGCAGCATTCTGGGATCCTTCCACTATAGATCTGTGCATCCAATAGATTCCATCAGAACTGAGCAACTAGCAGAGTTCAAGCAAAGACTGTGGCATCTCTGGTGGCTGCCAGGTCTGACAACCAAGGCTGGGACTGGAGACTGGAAGTGCCCCTGTGCAAGGAAAACAGCAGTCCCTGTGAGTAACTCATCATTAGCAGAAGTGTCTGCATGGTAAGACTCAACCAGTGACCTAAGCTAGAGAAGACGGGTAGTGCCAGGCACTGCAGAGAATCTCCATCATCCCGGGGGTCTCAGCCACTGGGTGGCCCATTTTAGCCGTGGTTTAAAAATAGCTCCAAATAGATTGATTACTTTTTCAGCTCCAGCCTCTATGAATACTAAGCCTCTAGAGTTGTAACTCTTTGAGTGTTGGGAACACCGAAGTGGGTCCCCAGTGCAGTCAAATTCAGATGGGCCTTCTCCCTGTAGTCAGAGCTCTGGACTGCACAGAAGCAGCCGTGAGAACCACAAACATAAAGCTCTTAGCAACAGCCAGCAAGACTGGCAACTCTCAGGGCCACCGTCACACATGGACAGCTGGTAGAATGCTAGTGTGGGCAAGCAGCAGTGCACTTGAACTGACGTGGACACTCAGGTTAGAGCCAGAAGAACCATTAAATGCCTGCATGACTTCATGGGTTTCCTGTTTTCCCGTCTCAGGCTGGGAGTGGATTGAGTAACTTAATGGCTGAAGAATTTTAATGGTGAAAGCAAAGGAAAATGCCTGCAGGTAAGGAGGGAAAGCATAACAAAGGGAGGATATTAGAAAGAGGAAGACTAGGGGCTTTGTAGACAGTCCTTGCTGACCGAGGACCAAACTCACTGTGAAACCCAGAGAGATCAGTTCTCCAGCAGGAACCACCTTTCTTCACAACTCTCTGTTGGTCATGCACTAAGCCCCGAAAAGAGTCCCCCAGCCTCAGTCCCCTACCTTCCATCCTTCTTATCTTTCTTACCCCTGAGTCAAGGCTGCTTTGGAGATGGCTTGCCAGAATTTTCTGCCCTGAAGAAAACCCAAATTCTTCAGAATGAGGCTTGCAGGCTACACATCTATTACACCAGCTCCCCTACCCCACTCCCCAACCTATGGGCACTCCCCACATCTTCTCGAAGTATGCTACTGTTGTCCAGTTTCTGCATGTTAAACTTACTCTCAGAAATACAAGACTATCAAAAAGTATGCGTACATTGATAATATCTAGGGCCATATGGTAGAACCACTGTACTTTCTTAGCCCAGTGACATGATCAGAGCGAGGTACACACTGTCCATGATGCTTGCTGTCATTGTAGAGAACCATGCTGACCTCCCAGTCTCCCAACCCTGTGAAACTGAGGCCCTGAGTAAAGATTCCAGCTCACTAAGACCAACCGGTACTAAGCAGTAACAGCTTAGGCAGCTGCCATGGAAACAGCATCCACATCTATAATGTGACTAATGAGCCGTCAAAGATACCACCAAGAAATTAAGGTACTGTGACTCTGTCCCAACCTCAAAACCATGTGTGTGGTATAGTGGTGCAGTAATAAGGTCTGTTTTAGTTGATTACATAATCCCACAGGGGCCATGCTCTTGAAGGGCTATCTAACTGACCTCAAATTACTGCACGAAACCAAAGGAACAAGGGAGAAACCGATTCTGCAGGGAGAGACTACCCCGGGAAAGGATGGAAGGGAGAAGGAAAACGAGGGAAGAGAAGAAACAAGAAGGTTCTAAGGACCACACATGGGCCTTTTGTCTTCTGTTCAGGCAAAGAAGCTAATAATCGCTTTTGCATATCATATCCAACCACATGTATTCAAAGGATAGATAATCTCTTGTGGCTACAAAAGTTCCACACAGGAGCAACACAACTTCAAATACCTCACTCAACTGCTGGTACGTAAGCTAAGCTAAGCAGGTTTAGTAGGTAAGTAATTAGCATAATGTTACGTTTCTTAGGGGCTGGGTGCCCTGGTTATGGGTGCCTCAGGCAGTGTTTCACATTGTTAGTGCTTTTCCAAATACAGTTTGGCCCAAGGGTCTTACAGAAGTCTTTCACACCATCCCATAGGTTAAAGCACAGCAACTATCAACCGCGGCGATTCGAGAGTGTGACAGTCCTTAAAACCAAACATGCCTCCTTCGTATCAAAGTACTGTCATTATTTTAAGATTCCATTTCTGTAGATTAAACACTGTCTATCTGGCAATTAGGGGTACATTTTTGTGTTCTAAGAAAAACAAAAACAAAAAAACGAATGTCTCTAAGAGGGTCATTTTTGCTCTTTAGTTTTTTCACAGAATTGGACTAAATCATGGCAATTAGTGTAACGGAAATGTTTACAGCCATCTCTGATGGCAGTTTCGCTAATGTAATGATTTAGTTCAAGCCCAGTAAAACATGAGCCTGTATCATTAGGATGAATCAGAATCAAAAGCAAGCAACTTTGTGCTTACAGTAATTCAACACACATCATCTCATCAGCAGAGGCAGCTATAAAATTAAGGATATACAATTAGTCAATCAGACGGTTCCTGAATTAATTAATTAAGCAAGGAAAATTAGCAAGCAAGGACAGGACCACATCCAACAGCATGCCTCCCCTTCTCAGAACAACCCTTTCCATTCATTTTTGATCCAGTTGGCCAACACACCATAGGATTCCATCTCCACCAGGTAGAGTTAGGGATCAGACTCTTCCAAACCAGCCTCTGTCCTGGTGGTCAGTGAACACACTTGGTCCCTTGGCTGTGTTTCCACCTCTAAGAATAATTTGCTTTCTTCTCTGCTTGGCAGAGCTGTGTCATGAATAACACCTCAAGGGTTCAAACAAGGACTACCATCACAGCCATGCAAAAACAAGCATCAGCATATTATCCGTTAGAAAACCCAGTGGACACAGGCCTTAGATTTCAGTATAAGAGATCTGAATAAACACTCTATTCAGATCCAATCTGGAACCAAGGAACATTTTATAATTGTAAAAGAAGTGCAGAACCGTGTGTCTAACTGAGTTTTACAAACAAGAGAGCAAAAGCCACCAATTAATGAAGCAAATTGACAATGGCACAATCATTGTTAAGGCATTTGATTGTATCCAGCTGGTAAAGATCACACTGCAAAGAGTGATTCCTGACATATGAAAATTTGATACTATATTGTCCAAAACTAATTACAAAGCGATATCCAGATTAAAGTATGATCCCAATTTTTTGAAAGCATTTATGTTGAGTTATATATGTGCAAATGAAAAATCATTAATAGTGATTATCTCTGCATGACATATAATTTTCACTATGGTCTTTGTATTTCCCTGTGTTTCCAAGTTTCCTTATGGAGATGCATATTATTTTTATAATAACTCAAAATAATATATAATCCCCATTTTTTTAAAGTAGCAATTTTACTAACCTAAAAGTATGTATTAGTGTTATGATTATAAAAAACAAATCAGAAACAAGCATTCAATGCTGAATGAACCCGTGAATAAGTCACAAGAAACAGCTTGATATTTTGGTTCCCAAACTAGCCTACCAAAGATGCTTTTCAGTTCTTCTAATTCAGTCAGCAAGAATCCTTCAACTAGCGCAATTTCCCAAAGGACATTTATATTTCCCCAGAAAGACAGGACAATGCATATATGCATCCATTGTTCAGGAGGGAGGCATCAGGCTGTGGGAAATTTACACATAGCAGTTACATGCCATAGCAAAGAGGAGTTGGGAGGCCTGGTTCTCTCCTGTGCCTTTAGCTTCAGGACACCAAGACAGCACCTTCCACCATGACTTTGGCACCAGAGCTGGCAGCAGAGTTTGAGGACTGAGTAGTATGTTTCTGGTGATAAGATGGGTTAAGGGAGATAAATAAGATGTCTTCTTGCCAAAACCAAAAAAAAACTGGGAGTAGCAAAGAAAAAAAGGGGGGGCGGATAGAAGGAAACTAGCTGAATCCCCAAGTCCTTGATAGGGAATTATGGGAGTGGGAGGCGCCAGGCAGAGCCATGGTGTATGAATTGTCCTGATTTCAGAGTTAGCACTTAGTTGAACAGAGATCTAAACAAAGGCAGATGGTTCCAGCATGCACCGTCTCACGCTGCCTGAATCCTCACTGAGAATTGGGGAAGTGGAATCAGACATCCCCTGTGTCATAGACTTCCAGAACATCATATAAAATGCTGAGGGCTGCAGGAACTTCTGTAGAGTCACCCTCTCAGCATCCTGAATGCCAATATGAAAGAAGAAAGCATGACTGAACAATTTCCCCTGCTAACTGTTTGTAAAGAGGAGGAGGAGGAGGGAAAGGCTAGGGAAGGCAACCAAGGCAGTGTGAGGATGTGTAACGGACACACTTAGAGTCGTGGTTGAAGGGTGTCATCATAGAACCGAGAGATCCCCAATTTGCACATCAGGAGCATCAGTCGTGTCAGTTATGCCCGTGACAGCCTCACACTCCGATGAATACGTTGAAATACTGCAGGATAGTTAATGGAGTATTAATACTTCTCCGATATGTGCTTCTTGTAGAGATGTGTAACATACAGAAGAGAAGTCATAAAGAAATGATTAGTAAGGACCTGCTGGGGGCAGGGTCTGCATTTGTTCAAAGTCACTGTAGCCCACCATCCTGGAAACATCGGAGAAAGTTCAAAGGGGACAGATGGTCTTTGTATTGAGGATCAAGGCCAGGACTGCCATTCTCAAATCCTGCACAGTTGTTCCTAACAGAAGATCCATACAATGGGAGAATCATGGGATCCCTGTCTTGTCTCAGTTCAAGAAAACCACCTTCCCTTTAGGCACAACCTGCTCCAGGATCCTGCATAGCTGCCTGCTTTTTAAGACTTTGAAAGAAAGTTGCCTTTGTTTCTCAGTTTTATAACTTTCTGGACCAATCAAACATTTCAGTTTATATTTTCCTTGATTTTTAAAATGAATTATTTTTATCTTTATCTGGATATAATTGATAAATGCAGTCTGTTTTTAAGGTGTGCAACTTGATATGTTGAATAAAGTGTATAGACTTAGAAACGACAAGCACAATAAAGATAGACAATGCACCTGTCACCTCATGATTACCTCTGCGTATGTATATGTTTGTAATGAGAGCAGTTAAGATCAACCAAGTGTGCAACACTGTATGGCTATGAATCCCAGGCTACACATTACTCCTCCAGAACTTACTCATCACACAAAACTAAAGATTAATACTTGGGACAGCATCTTCCCTTTTTAGCAATCTCAACACTTAGCAACCATAATTTTTTTACCCAGTGTCTCTGTAAGTTCAACCATTTTTTATTCCACATTAGTGAGGCCATGTGGGATTTGCCTCTTTGTGTCTGGCTTATTTCAGTTCACTTGGTGTTTCCTAGTTCATGTATGGCATCACAAAGGTAGGATTTTCCTCTCTTTTAAAATGAGTTTTTGTTTACTTATAGGAATGCTTTGCCTGCGTGTATGTATGTGCCCCATGAGCATGCAGTACCTGCAGAGGGCAGAAGAGGGCAGAATTCACTTGAACTGGAGTTACAAATGTTTGTAAGTCACCATGTGGGTGCCAGGAACCAAAACTAGGTCCTCTACAAGATCAGCAAGTACTCCTAACCTCCGAGCCATCATTTCAGCCGTCAGGGTTCCCTTCTTTCTTAAGATCACATAATAGTCCATCAAGTGCCCACATCGTACATTCTTTCTCCATTTACCTTTTAATGAGATTGTGCTTATATCCACATCTTTACTCTCTATTAATAGTGTAGTGATGAATACAGGAGTAGAGCTCTATCTTGAACATCATGCTTTCATTTTCTTTGGATATAATACTGAGAAGTGGCATTGACTGGTCATTTAGTAATTGTACTATTAATGTTTTGCTTTGGTTTTTTTTTTTTTTTTGGTGTGGAATCTCCTCACTGTTTTCCTAAATGTTTATATTGGCATCCTCATCAACAATGTACTGCAGTCCCCTCTTCTCCACATCTTTGCCAGCATCTTTATAACCGTCATGCGGTGGTGTCTCATTGTGGTTTTTGATTTGCATTTCCCTAAGTATTACTGATTGTCCTCCTTTGCTGTAATAAACATCTTGGCCAAAAGCAACTTGGAGAGAAAAGGGTTTATTGGGCTTACACTAATACATCATAGTCTGTCTTTGAGGAAAGTCGGGGTAAGAACTGAGGCAGAGACCATGGAGGAGTGCTGCTCACGGGATTGTTCGTGTTCGGCTACCTTTCTTACTCACTCCAGGCACCGGCCCAGGACCGACACACTCACAAAGGGCTGGGCCCTCTCACAGCAATCATTAATGAAGATCATTCCCCTGTAGACTTGCCTACTGGCCAGCCTGATGGAGGCCTTTTCTTAGTTGAGGTTCCCCTTCCCAGATGACTCTACCTTGTGTAAAGTTGTCATAGAACAGTCGGCACAGTGATACTGTCGGTTATCTATTGGCTTTTTGAGTATCTAATTTTAAGGAAGCTTATTAGGTCCTGTGAACCTGTGAATTTTTTGTCTATCTGTTGTGATAGCCCCATACATGGTTGGCAAGTGCTCTCAGTGAACTGCATTTGTATGATCACTTTTAAGTGGGTTATTTGTTATGCTTTGCCATTGAGTCATTTGAGGTCCTTACATTCAGACTCCTTATAACAGAGTTTGATATTAATCTGTGAACTGAAGTTCCTAGAACCAAAAAAAAAAAAAAAGAGTCATATCTGTTGTGGGAACTTCATTCAGTCAATAGTTTTAAAGGTACAGGTGCCTTGTGGGCTGGGTCCTAAGTGCTACCTGTGAACTGGGAACAAGCTCTTTCTCTTGGGTGGTGGTCATGGAATAGATCTCAGCTTCCAGCACATCTGGGCAGAAGACAGTGTCTGTTTTCTACCTTATTTGTCATTCGTGAGTGACTCCCCAATAAAAATCTGACTTCCCTTTATTCCAGGCTCCTGTGGATTTTATTACAATAATCCATTACACATATCCATGTTAAACACTTTAAAAGGCCGATTGACTGACTATAACTTTAATAACTGTGGAAGAGCATAAACACGGCAGATCCAGAATCGTGGTCAGACTCAAATTATCTGGGCTGTCTTAGTCCCTTAAATAGCCACTTATTGTCCACCCCCGTGAGTGACCCAGCATTCTTGTGACTGTTAGGCAAATCCTATGGAATGCATAAACCCAAGCCAAGGCTCTACTACTCAACGGCTGAGAACGTCCTTAGGTAGCATCCAGGCCTATAGCAGAGATTCTCCCTACTCCACAGCATCTGCCTGTCTGATATTTCCACCAACATGCTTGGCAAATACCTTAGTTCTTAATGATTTGGTTCTGTTTCTATGTAAAAAAAAAAAAGTGTTCATGAAGCTGCTACCAGATTGGAGCATGGTCGTTGAAGTACCCTGACTCTGTCCTTTGGTGATAGTCACTTACCGTTTGCTCTAGAAATAAACTATCTCTTATTCCCTTTGAGTTGATAGTTCTGATTTTTTCATCAACAAACCATTATGAGATGTATGGTCTGCAAACATCTTCCCCATGTCACCTTTTCATCTTATTGATGGTTTCCTTCCCTGGTAAAGTCCTTAACTTGATAAAATCCTACTTACCTGATTTTTTCTTTTATTGAAAATTATGTTGTACTTATTATGCCACATAACACCAAATGGTACCAAAATTGCGGAGTCTTCTGTAACTATTAGTCTCATCCCTTCCCACCATCACCAATGTTCCGACTTTGTTTCTTCTATAAGGGCAAACTCTATAATCAGTCAAGCATGTATCTTTTATAATACACTTAATAGATATTTATGTACCCTCAGATATGTAACTATGTGGTGATGTATTTTATACAAATTATATCACATTAAATACATACTGGTCTTTGACCCATTTTCTTCACTTACAAATGTAGTGTGTGTGTGTGTGTGTGTGTGTGTGTGTGTGTGTGTGTGTGTGTGTGTGTGTGTGTGTGTTAGAAGGAATGGGTCAGTCAGGAGTGGCTTGGTACATGTACAAGAGCCTGAATTCAGTCTCCACCACCCACACAGATTCTGTATGTGCTGCCATTGAAAACCTTCAGTGAGTCAGCCAGATGGCTCATCAGATAGAGGTGTGTGCTACACAAGCCTGATGAACTGAGTCTGATCCCTGGGAGCCATGTATGGGTGGATGGAGAGAACTGACTACACAAAATTGTCCTCTGATCTTTACACACATGCCATGGCCTGCCCTTGCCTGGACAAACACGTGTGCATGCATAAACACACACACATACACAGGAAAGGGACAGAGAGAGAGAGAGAGAGAGAGAGAGAGAGAGAGAGAGAGAGAGAGAGAGAGAGAGAGAGAGAGAGAGAGAGAGAGAGAGAGAGAGAGAGAGAAAGGTGGGGAGAAATTTAGTTTGGTTTTTTGTTGTTCAATGGTTGAGTTTTATAGTTTGTTTAATATAGATTTTTACACAGTACACTTCTTTATAAATTTTGTTTGCTTGCATGTTTGTGTATTTTAGTTGAATGAATCTATTCAAGTCATACCTGATGTCAACTTACTGAACTGCCATTTACAGTCTTTAGCCACAAGTGAAACTATCTTACAGATTTTCCATAAGTCATTTAGTTCTTGTTGTGTTTCTTAGCTCTAGGTGGTGAAATTAACTTGTTCTAGAGGTGGACAGTAGACTGATCCATGAGGGCACAACCCCAGTCTCTTATCTATGGAAAATGGTAGTCAGGTCTCCAGCGGAAACTTCTAGTTTGTAAACCTCTTCTAGGATCTCTACTCTAGTCAACCGAACAGCAGTGTTTGGGGCTATTTCATATACAATTATGCTATATACAATTTAATTTGAAAGAGAACTCCCATGATTTGGAGTTGGGGTTGAAAAATCACTATTGGGGGGCACTCTGAAGACAGATGGCCATCTGTTCAAGAATTGAACCAACTCAAGGCTACTTAATAAAGAACCTTCTGGCTGGGTTCACTGGGGCCCACTCCTTGTAATGGTGTATGTCCTACAACCTACCCTGTCCCCCTGCTGCTAAAATGTGCTCTGCTTACCGCCAACTACTCTCTTAGTTGCCAAACTCTAAAGGTCCCTCTTCATTCATATTCAACACAATGCTTTGACATTCTGGGTTTTCATCAGTCTGGCTTTCTATGCAGGCCTATTCAGTCTAACAGCTAACAATAGCAAAAGAGGCCATCAAAGGACTCTACCGGCTATACTTTTGTGAAGGGCACTCAAGTATTGTCCTTAGACAGGACTCAACGGACAAAAGGAGAAATAGTTGATGCTGTTGATTTATCTCTGAGAGAAATTATTTTCACCTAACTAAATAATATGTGCTTGTTTTGACTGAAGGTCATTCCAAGAAAGATTTGTGAATGAATGAATAATCAATACATAGATGTTCAATCTAATTTAAAGTGAATGACCTTTCAAAGCAGGACACAGTAATTTTGTCAGTGTAGGAAGCTTTATTTAGAAGCCTATTAGAAGCTGGTTGTGGGGTTAGGGAGACACTTGATGTCTGATTAAATGCCTGCCATGCAAGCGTGAGGACAAGAGCCTGGATCCCCGTAGCCCACATAGAAGCTAAACAAGTGTAGCAAGTGCCTGAAAATCCCAGCACTTGGGAGACAGAGGCAGGGGATGCCTGAGGCAGGCTGTACTATCTGGAATAGGGGACTCTGAGGTTTAATGAGAGGCTTTGACTCAAAGAAAAGAGTAAGAGAAACTAAGGGAGAAGAGAAGGAGGAGGAGGAGGAGAGAATATTCTCTTCCACAACACACACACAAAAATTACCTCTGGGATCTCTATATACTATAAGTTTAAATATAATTTCTATTAAATATTGTAATATTCTAAAAATAGAACCATCAGCTGGGGGCTTATTTCCTAGGACTCCCTGTGGATTTAAAAAGCTCCACTGCCTGTGTTCTCTTAGGAGGCAGAACTATGTAATAATCTGAGGGGTTTCAGGCTTTCTAACCACAGTCATTAGGAGTGGTAGGATACAGAAAAAGCATTGCTTTATTTGTACAGCTCTCTGGATATTACATCAAGGCTGATTCACTGTTTTGTTTGTTTGTTATATAGTTTTCAAGATCATTTTTTAAGGGCAGTAGATGGTTTGTTTTGTTTTTGGTGTTGTTGTTGTTCTTTTATATGTATGCATATAAATGCATGTCTGTGCATCACTTGAATGTCTAGTACCCAAAGAGGCCAGAAGAGGGCATCAAATACCCTGGAACTAAAGTTACAGACAGTGAGACCTGTCATGTGGGTGCTACGCATCAAACCCAAGTCCTCTTGAAGAACAGCCAATGCTCTTTACCATTGAGACGTCACTCTATCCCTATGATATATGGATTTGAGGGGATTGTTTTGTTTGTTTGTCTTTAAAGACAGGGTTTCTCTGTGCAGATTTGAAGCCTGGCCTGGAACTCACTGTGTAGATCAAGTTGATGACATAATTTTTTTGATGAGGATGTCATTCCATATGCTGTGAATATATGCTTCTCTTATAGATTGATGAATAAAACTGTTTTGGCCAATGAACTTACAGGATGTAGTCAGGCTGGAAGAATAGGCTGGGTGACCAGACTAGAGAAAGCTGGGAAGAGGAACACAGAGAGGAGGCCAGGGAGAGATGCCATGTAGCTACCTGGAAGATAGGAAGCTTGCACATTCTCAGGTAAGCCAAGACCATGTAGAGATACACAAATTAATAGAAATGGGTTAATAAACAATAGAGAGCTAGCCAATAAGAAGCCTGAGCCATCAGCCAAACAGTTTACAATTAGTATAAGCGTCTGTGTGTTTATTTGGGACTAAAGGTCTGTGGGACAAGGCGGGACAGAAATTTCAGCCTACAGTTTTCAATAATGTATTATTTTAGCATTTTTACTAAGCTTAAAAACACTTTTTCTTACAGCAATGCAAATGTTTTATAAAGGTCATATTGTACCTTTCATTTAGTTAGAAGAACTAAAACATAAATCTATATATCATACACATGCACACACACACACAGTTCTGAAATCTTTAGGTAAGCCTGGGACCCATCAGAGGAAACATAAAGTGCTATATCTC